AGTGTGTTCTTATGATCTTCTGTCCACAGTGGAAGTCGCTTTCAAACGACCAGAAAGCCAGATATTTCAAGCAGGCTGAAACAGAAAGACAGAATCATGCCAAAGAGCATCCAGCCTGGTCGACCAAAGAAAACTATGTATGTCCAAAGTGCCAACATGCAGTTCCTACATGTGTGCATCACTGCACTGAATGATGAAACAGTCACTGCACAGAGTTTGTATCAGCTAATGAAAACTCTGTGTTTGTTTTCAGGGCAAGAAGAGGAAGAGAATCAGACTTAGAAAAGGTGAAAGAAGATTTCTTGGTATCACAGCATCTGACATAAGAAATGTGATGAAAACGAGACAAAATGTGTTGAAAAAAGAAGACTTAATGTATTTTTGTTTGCGTTGCAGAATCTGCATCTGTACATGAAGAAGAAGCTCAACAAGCCAACAACTTGCGTATGAGGCCAGCTGAGTCACAGCCATCTTCTTCTTCTCATTCATTTCTGACAGAGCCACATGAGCAGCCACAGACAAAGCCAGATGACAGCAGCGTGCCTCGCCAGCAGCCAGTGTGTTTGCAACTGCCAAACACACAGGCATCACCCTACACACCTCTCTGTCAAGAAAATCAGGTCTCCCCTGCCTCTCACATGAATTTCCCTGAGGACACCTCATTGGACTCCCCTGTTGCAGCCCTTCAGTTCCAGACAGAGGAAGCCTTTGTCGCAGACAGTGAGGAAGAACTGCTGTCAGTGCTGGAAGAGCTCGACCCCCTCCCCATCACTGCGCAGTCTCAGCAGCCCTCACCCACCCCTGCCTCTCCTGTAGATGCCTCTCAAACTGCATCAGTTCAACCCCGAGTTGAATTATTTCAAGACCGAGATGAGCCCATCTGTTTTGCTGAAATCCAAGAAGACATGTGGTCAGTGCTTGACTACCTCCCCGTCTCTCAGCAGTCTAATGTGCTCTCCTCTCCTCATTCACACAACTACTCGACTCCTAAACAAAATCTCATCTGTCCTGCTGATTCCCCTCCATCCAAACTGGCGTCCTCCCCTGTTGCATTCACTGAATTGCAGTCAACAACCCCCATCTTTTGCCAACTAATGAAAAACAATAATTTCACTATAGACTATTGGACCGATTTCAATTGAATGAAACTGTTACTCCTGTTATTTCAACATCTGTCTTTGTGTAAATAAATAAAAAACAAACAAAAGATGCTTCTGTCATAAGTTACAGCAGGATGAAACAACCTTCATGTAGTTCTTGTTTTTAACCCTGCAAACCTTCTTTAGTTCTTTTGTTTCCTTTCATATTCAGCACACATCTGTCAGTGTCCACTAACTGTCAGGGAAAAGCCAGATAAAAACACTGTGGGGTCTTTTGGGACACGTGCTCGTTGGGTTTACTCATAGATATCAGAAATGATCTGTTCTGTATTCAAAGGATACACGAAGGACGTTTGTATTAAATGCAATATAGCGACTGATCATATGCTGCTTTCTTTGGGGGCTTTTCACCACCATGTTACACAAATCCAGTTTCTAACTGAAAAGAAAATCCTTCACCATCTTCTAATCAAATTCCCTGGTTTCCCATGTCAGAGATGTCATGGCTGAAAGGATCATCGCATATTGAGCTCAAAGCTAAACTCTTGTGTACGGCCTCTTTCCATGTTGCACCATTCATTTTAAAAAGTCCTGGTAACAAGAGACAGAGGTGACTTGATGTATTACAGTTACTTCCCAATTTACAGAAATGATGTGACTTCTGACATTTTCCTAGCAGGAAATGTGCTACTGTGGGACACTGAAAGAATAAACAGCAAGGCACGTTTTGTTTTAATAACTTTTCTTTACTTCATTTGTATGAACTAGGTTTACCTTACAAAATCTTATACTGTATATAATGTTTTATGTTTAATTCATGTCATGTCAGCTCGTGTTTACTCGGGTGAGCAGTACCGGCCCACAAAGAGAATGCTCTTGGTGGGTTTATGTCGGATGAAGAAGATGAAGGGATGGTCGGCAACAAACTCAGCGGGAATCGTTATAGAGCGGACTTCCATGTCAACCCCAGTGGCAGCAGCAGCCTCAGCTCCTTCTTCATTTACATCCACCAAAGCCTTGTGGACAACTTTGGACACTATCAGGTCATTTGCTGGAGACATTCCTAGTAGATGAAGAGCCCAGAAATCAGTTGTGTTTTATTCTTTACCAGATGATGTTTTGCAGTTTTTGTGCTCTCAATATAACTGTATAATTGATTCAGTGTGTCTCATTGGTGCAATATTTCTCACCAGAGAAGTCTCTCTTGTAGATGTCAAAAGCGTTCTCCATTCCCATGTTGGTCAGGATTTTCTCCAAGTCATACTTCTCCTCCATCTTAAATCGAGGGAGCTTGACATCAACCTCGTTGGGGCTCATCATGTCTGGGCGAGTCCAGTCCACAAAGTTCTGATAGGTCAGCTCCTTCTCCAGCTGTGTGGATACAGTGTCACTAGCTTGTCTGATTGAAACTGGACATTAAAGTACTGGTAAGTGCATCTTACCTTTTCCAAGCCTGTGGTATCATCTTCTATGTCATTAGGCAGGAATATGAGCATGCTGAGGTCATTTCCTTTATACGGCATCTCAAGAATCTGTCCAGAAACATTGTTTTTATTTATTACTCCATCAAAGATGGTCTGACTTCCTAATCTAGAAATTTAGGCTGATATTTGTAAAAGATGAAAAAGTGAAAGGTAATCGCACAGAAAACCTGATACCTTGTGTGTCACCTCTGACACCAACAACTGCAGCAAGCGTTTGGTGCTAGAGGTCACATTTGGACTCTGGACCTCTGTGGAGTGTGCACATGATCTCATTACTGTCTAAAAATCCAAGGAGTGCTGAATCATTGAAAAATACACAGTAACAGGTGTGTAGCATCGCTAACTAGGTAGCAACAAGCCTCTAACACAGTGTGTGTATGCTAGCGGCTAATCTAGCAAACAAATGAACAGAGTGCTTTTAGGTGTTGCACAAGGATAAGATGATAAGACTGTGTGTCTTTTTTATAATCACCTGCTTCAATTTACCTTAATCCAAGGAGTGCTCAGTGTGGGTAAATCTGCCATGAGCAGATAAAGTGGATGAGTGGGATAGGTAGGTGTGCCGAAAAGAGGCAACAAAGCTGAAGAGTAGTGATGGGTCGTTCGCGAACGAAATGGGTCTTAGAGCCGGGTCTTTGACGTGAACGACGCGAGCCGGCTCCAGTGCGCGCTGGCCTTGCCAACTCCCCGCTATTGGCCACGAAGGATTACCGCTCCCTTGCGGAAGAGGCGGATCGCATCCTCCTGGCTACCAGGACTTTCGGCGTCCAGGCGATTGTTCAGGACTCACCAGCGTTTTCCCCCGCCCCCTCACCGATGCTCCAGGGGCCCTCCGACTCGTCCACGGTGGCCGGAATCGCTGCACGGCGGCACCGCGGAAAGGGGCTTTGTTTTTATCACCAGCGTTTTGGAGCGAAGGCACGGCGCTGTCTCCCGCCTTGCAGTTTCCAGACCCAGGGAAACGGGCATGTCAGCGCTCTGTAGCAGCCGCGACCGCTGGCAACAAGGAAAGGCTGCTTTTCTTAGAGGACTCACGCTCGGGGAGGCATTTCCTGGTGGACTCCGGCTCACAGAAGAGCCTTCTTCCCCCGGCTGGCTCGGACAGGCTAGCTGAGGGCTGCGGGCCATTGCTAACAGCGGCTAATGGCTCTCCCATCAAAACCTTCGGTGAAAGTGTAACCAATACGTCTACTCACCAAAGAATGAGTGAAGCAATATGGATAACAGCAGAGGACAATTTATTTAGGGTCTGATGGCAATTTACCATCGGTGTCCAGCACTTTAAAGGATTGGATGGACTGGAGCACATCTGTCCTTAACATACCCTCTTAAACATCAGCTTGACACTGATACATCAAAGGAAACTTAACAGACTTTAAGTGCAAATGTTTCAACCTGAACAACTTAAAACTTCTTTGGGATACAATGTAAATAAAGACAAGAAGAAAAATATTTCCATCAATAGTCACTTCTCCTAACCAGGAGACAAGTGAATATATTATGTAAAGAGTCCTTCTCAGTCCTGGGGTTGTAACACCACAACCTCCTCAGTCCGTAATCAGAGAGTGTCTATTTGACAATAACCAAAATGTCTTTGGATAGTCTTTATGAATGCAAACAAAACAAAACAAAAAAAACAATGGTATTAGCTGGCCAGCAAAATAAAGAGACTGTATGGCACTGAGTGCGGGCGTGTGTGTGAGTACTTCGGTCCAAATAATCAAGGTCCGGATGGATGAAGGGATGGCGGCCGCTTGTCCTTTAATGGCACAGCAGCGAGGCGGCACAGCAGCGAGGCAGCACAGCAGCGAGGCGTCTGGCAGGAGAACGAACAATAATCCTTTTCAAGGCTACTGCATAAGGAGATATTCCCCGCTAGCTCACCCAAGCTTGCTCTCTGGCACAGCTACAAGCCACGTGAGCTCATAGCCCCATAGTGACATACGAACTTGGCTACCAACGTCCGCTTAGCATGGCGGCTAATCGTCGAGCTTGCTAGCTTAGCCTCGATTAGCGATTAGCACATTAATAACCATCACTACACATCACATCATAGCAAACACATGATAACACATGGAATAGTATAATATACATACGAAACAGATTTTTACCTGGCAGGAGAACGAACAATAATCCTTTTCAAGGCTACTGCATAAGGAGATATTCCCCGCTAGCTCACCCAAGCTTGCTCTCTGGCACAGCTACAAGCCACGTGAGCTCATAGCCCCTCCCGCTAGGATGTACCACTACAGTCGACTGTCGTAAAGCAGCCGCAAACCCATAGCAATATAAAAAAAACCTCAAAATCATTGAAGAACATTTTATAACACCCAATATAGATATATACATATATACTGAATATCACACAATGTCAGATAACCAAATTAACACTGGGTTACATACACCCCTGCTTAAAGTGTGACGTCCCGTCACTATCACCCGACAGAGATTGCACTAACCCAGCAATCTGTTGTTGTAATGACAGGAAAAAGTTATTGAACAATGCAAGTGTCATCGGCAGCCATGGCTCTCTACCAAACATCAGAAGGAAGGGCGCTTCTCCAGTTGCGTCATGTTTTGTACAGTTATAAGCATGTACAAGGGGGCGAACATACTTCCTCCACTCCTCTTCTTTTTTTTTTTTCTTTTTCTCCAGTTGCCCTCTGGTACAAGCATCCAGTGCTGTGGGAGGGTGCCAGAAGGCCTGCCGTTACCGTCAACTACCTCCTGCAGCAACGTCTGGAGTCGGCGCAAGTAATCAGATGCCTTTTCTCCACTATTCTGATGAGTCTCTAGGTACTGGATATACAGCTCTTCACCTCCAGTGACATTGCCATAAGCCTTGTCAAGCTCATCAAGATAGTCTTTTGGTGGTGCTTGAGACCCAATAGAAAGGGCTACATTCAAAGCAGGGCTAGCCAAGCTATCGAGGAAACCACGGCGCTGCTGCCCTTCGGAAAGGGTAGAGTCATTTAGTACCTGTTTAGCTCTAAGTCGCCATACCCTGTACTCTACCTCATTAGGGGGTTTTGGAGAGTTTCCTGAAAATGAGCGGAGCTCAAAACCAGAGGGAGTGTGCATGGGCGAGTCATGTTTTACAATGTGCTCCACAATGACTCTCTGAACCTCCGCTGGCAAAGGATCAACAAGCAGGGAGTCCGCATCAAGTGCCTGTTTAGCCTTGGGCACATGGCCATCATCACAGGCGGCAGTTGACCTGGGACCGGGTGTGGACTGAGTTTTAACTCCCAAGGCAGGAGTTGAGGTAGCTAACCCCTTATATGTATCATTTTTCCCACACATGTGGCTCACTGCAGCCTGATTTAAAGTCATGGGGCTCACATTATATGCTAATGCCAGTTCGTTTACTTGTTCTCTGAAACTAGCAGTCACATCATCAATTGCTCGAGCGAGGGGGACCACATCATGCGCCAGGTGAAAACTGTCAGGTCCCTGAGGACAGTACTCATCTATCTGAATAACCTCCCAACACTCCCCATCTGCTGAATGTTCTCCATCTATGAGCATTGGGGTAATGGACTCAGTGAACTGACACAAAATAGTGTTAGGGAGACTATCTATTTGTTGAATTTTGACCACGTGATCCAGCAAAGCAAATGCTCTTTGCACCTCTTGTAGTTTAATCTCGGCTTTAGCCCCTTTTAACAAAACAGTGTACTCTGGATCAAAACCATACCTGTCACAAAACTCCATTGTCTCTCTCTGCAAAGCAGTAGATGAATTCACAGATGTCTGTGCATGTGCTTCAGGATAAAGTTAATGATGCGCTCCAGTCCCTGTTCGGGCGCCAATTTTTTCCTACTACTCTTAGTTGTAACCAATACGTCTACTCACCAAAGAATGAGTGAAGCAATATGGATAACAGCAGAGGACAATTTATTTAGGGTCTGATGGCAATTTACCATCGGTGTCCAGCACTTTAAAGGATTGACGGACTGGAGCACATCTGTCCTTAACATACCCTCTTAAACATTAGCTTGACACTGATATATCAAAGGAAACTTAACCGACTTTAAGTGCAAACGTTTCAACCTGAACAACTTAAAACCTCTCTGGGATACAATGTAAATAAAGACAAAAAGAAGAAAAATATTTCCATCAATAGTCACTTTTCCTAACCAGGAGACAAGTGAATATATTATGTAAAGAGTCCTTTTTCTCAGTCCTGGGGTTGTAACACCACAACCTCCTCAGTCCGTAATCAGAGAGTGTCTATTTGACAATAACCAAAATGTCTTTGGATAGTCTTTGTGAATGCAAACAAAACAAAACAAAACAAAACAATGGTATTAGCTGGCCAGCAAAATAAAGAGAGTGTATGACACTGAGTGCGGGCGTGTGTGTGAGTACTTCGGTCCAAATACTCAAGGTCCGGATGGATGAAGGGATGGCGGCCGGTTGTCCTTTAATGGCACCAGTAAGGCAGCACAGTAGTAGTAAGGCAGCACAGCAGCGAGGCAGCACAGCAGCGAGGCGTCTGGCAGGAGAACGAACAATAGTCCTTTTCAAGGCTACTGCATAAGGAGATATTCCCCGCTAGCTCACCCAAGCTTGCTCTCTGGCACAGCTACAAGCCACGTGAGCTCATAGCCCCATAGTGACATACGAACTTGGCTACCAACGTCCGCTTAGCATGGCGGCTAATCGTCGAGCTTGCTAGCTTAGCCTCGATTAGCACATTAATAACCATCACTACACATCACATCATAGCAAACACATGATAACACATGGAATAGTATAATATACATACGAAACAGATTTTTACCTGGCAGGAGAACGAACAATAATCCTTTTCAAGGCTACTGCAGAAGGAGATATTCCCCGCTAGCTCACCCAAGCTTGCTCTCTGGCACAGCTACAAGCCACGTGAGCTCATAGCCCCTCCCGCTAGGATGTACTACCACAGTCGACTGTCGTAAAGCAGCCGCAAACCAATAGCAATAAAAAACTCAAAATCATTGAAGAACATTTTATAACACCCAATATAGGTATATACATATATACTGAATATCACACAATATCAGATAACCAAATTAACACTGGGTTACATCCACCCCTGCTTAAAGTGTGACGTCCCCGTCACTATCACCCGACAGAGATTGCACTAACCCAGCAATCTGTTGTTGTAATGACAGGAAAAAGTTATTGAGCAATGCAAGTGTCATCGGCGCATTGAAACTGTGATGCTTACAATCGACTTTGTAGCCGACCTGATAGTCACTGAGATAAGCCGGTGGCACTCTCCTCCTTTGTGGCCTACCACATGTTGGGGCTGGGCTGAGCACCTCCTCATCGTTTGCTGTCTCCGATCCTGTCAGATCTACAATGAATTCAGGTGCCCCAGGATTCAGAGGATACTGTGGCTGGGACGCCTCCTGTTCTCCCAGAACATCCCTTTGATCCGCCAACAAGTCATTGTCAGGAAATTGGCTGGATGTAAAGTTTATTTCCTCGTCTTGCCCAAACTCCTCCTCCAGCCGAGTTTCTTCTGTGTTGCTCCCTGCATCCCCTCTCATGAGAGGTTGAACCGGACTGGTTAGCACATCCTGACTGTCACATTGCAGGTTAACCGGTAAGAACCCACAGGGAAGAAGCATGTCACGATGCAGAACTCGCTCTCTGCCCTCTGCATCCTCTGGCCTAATCACATAAACTGGGATAGACTCATCCGTCTGCTTAACAACGATGTGCACAATAGGCTCCCACTTATCAGAGATTTTGTGTTTCTTTCTTAGGCTCAGATTCCTTACCAGGACTCTGTCACCCACTTCCAATGGAAGGGCAGTAACCTTAGCATCCCAGCGTCTTTTGTTCAACAATTGTCTCTTCTCAGCATTTCTTGAGGCTAGGTCATATGCATACTTCAGCCTACTCTTTAGTTCTCGTACATACTGAATATGTGTTCTGGTGCTGTGGCCACGTGGACTATGTCCAAAACAGAGATCAATCGGAAGGCGTGGCTCTCTACCAAACATCAGAAGGAAGGGCGCTTCTCCAGTTGCGTCATGTTTTGTACAGTTATAAGCATGTACAAGGGGGCGAACATACTTCCTCCACTCCTCTTTTTTCTTATCCTCCAGAGTTCCGAGGAGGTCCAACAGAGTCCTGTTGAACCTTTCCACTGGATTTCCACGTGGATGGTAGGGTGTCGTACGGGACTTTGTAATCCCTGCTAGTTTACAAAGCTCTGCCACTATTTCAGATTCAAAACAAGCACCTTGATCACTATGGATTCTGCGAGGAAACCCGTAGTGACTGATGAAGTTCTCCCATAACACTGTGGACACCGTTTTCGCTGTCTGATCTCTCGTGGGATATGCCTGTGCATATTTTGTAAAATGATCAGTTAGTACTAGGATGTTCCTGGTGTCTCTCGAATCGGGTTCTATTGTCAGAAAATCTATGCACACTAACTCGAGGGGACCACTGACTTTGATGTTGACAAGTTTAGAGGCTTTCTGCACTCGTGCCTTTCGTTTCACACACCTCTCACATGTTTTACATTTGTTCTCAATGTAGCTAGCCATTTTTGGCCAGTAAAACCTCGCTCTAGCCAGTTCTAAGGTTCTCTCAATACCCATGTGACCTGTCTCGTCATGAACACCTTGGAAAGCTCTCTCTCGATGGCTATTAGGGATGACAAGTTGATGGAAGGCCTTCCCCTTTTGATCAAAAACTCTACGGTATAGCACCCCATCAACTAGAAGTAACTTTGATTTCTCCCGTAAAAACAGAACCACCTCAGGTTCCTCAGACTTTCTGTCAAAAGTCTCATCCCCAGCCTCTAAAATGCCTATGATGCGGGCTAAAGAGCTGTCATTTCTCTGTAACTGATACCAGTCCACCATAGACATTCCTGGTAGGGCTGACTGGCCAGGTAGGGGGACCGGATCCTCAAGGTCATCAGGAACCGCACTGTCATTGCACAAGAGTGTTTCCACGGCAGGGATTACAGTGTCGACTGTCTGTGTGCCTTCACCTAAGATCGTGTTGACATTGACACTATGACGCTTACACACAGTACTCATTGCCTCCCCATCGAGAACTTTAAACTCCTCAGGGGACAAGCTAGCACAGTCCAGCATGCTGGAGATTCTTCTGTCTGTCTCCAGGGACTCCTCGTCCTCCTCTGAGGGTCCATGAGGCCTCCTAGAGAGCCCGTCAGCATCAGTGTTATGTTGGCCAGATTTGTAGTGTATGTCAAAGTTGTAAATCGACAGCGAAGCAAGCCATCTGTGACTTGCAGCATCAAGCTTCGCACTGGTCAACACATACGTCAGAGGGTTGTTATCAGTCAGCACCTTGAAATTAGCCCCATACAAATAATCATGGAACTTCTCACTTACTGCCCACTTGAGGGCGAGAAATTCTAATTTATGTACAGGGTAATTCTTTTCGCTTTTGGAGAGGCCACGACTAGCATAAGCTACTACTCGAGTCTGGCCGTCTTGAACCTGATACAACGCTGCTCCCAGGCCTGACATACTGGCATCTGTGTGTACTACGTACGGGAGCTGCCAGTTGGCGAAAGCCAGAACAGGTGCTGAAATCAGTTTTTCAACGATAAGGTCAAAAGCAGCCTGGCAGGCAGGGGTCCATTTTGCCCCAAGTGAGGGTGACTTTGTTCGTGGCCAATGTTTTTGGCCTTTATGCCTGGGGGCTAGTTCTCCCTTTAACAAGTCATTGAGAGGCCTGACAATGCAAGAATAATCCCTCACAAACCGCCTGTAATACCCCGTGAAACCTAGGAATGACCGAAGCTCTTTGGCAGTTTGTGGGCATGGCCAGTCTTTCACAGCAGTAATTTTGTCTGGGTCAGGCTGGATCCCCTGGGCAGATATTACATGCCCCAGATATTTCACGGAGGTTTGGAAGAACTTGCATTTAGAAGGGGATAACTTCAGACCAAACTCAGCAATGCGCTTAAGGACCTTCATCACCCTCTCTTCATGCTCTTCCAGTGAGTTGGAGAAGATTATGAGGTCATCTAGAAATGCAACAACCTCCTGGAGGTTAATTCCCTCCATCACTTTCTCCATGGTCCGTTGAAACGTGGCAGGGGAGTTAGTCAAGCCTTGAGGCATCCTCCGAAATTGCCATGTTCCAAACGGCGTTGTAAATGCTGTCTTGGGTCGATCACATGGCTCAACTTCAAGTTGATAGTACCCGCTCTTGAGATCTAAAACAGTGAACCATTTTGAACCAGAGAGCAGAGTGAACGTCTCCTCTATACGAGGCAATGGGTATGCGTCCTTTTTGGTGAGGTTGTTTAATCTCCGGTAATCTACAACCATTCGCAGTTCCCCATTCTTTTTCCTAACAAGCACTACTGGAGAGGCATAGGGGCTATGTGACTCCTCTATAATGCCTGTTGCCAAAAGGTCTTGGAGGTGTCTTTTCAAATCATTGAAATCCGCGGGCGAAACACGTCTTGTCCGCTCTTTGAATGGGACATGGGGTTCTAACTCAATGCGGTGACTGACCCCCGTCACACTACCAACGTCAAGATCATGTTTCGAGAAAGCATCTGATGCTTCTTTGACAATTCTAGCCTGTATGTGCTCTTTGAATTGTGGTGATATCGGGCTGTCCCCAAAATCAAGGCCAAGAAGCACGGCAGATTGGTTACTGTCCTCGCTATGAGAAGCTAGCAGGGACTGTGCCTGCAGAGGAGCATCTTCGGGCTGGGGGTTCAGATCAGGGAGTGCAACAGGAACTGCCCAATCAATGGGGGAGCACTCAGCAATAGCTGTTCCAGGATACAGTGTGATGCCCCGCCGAGAGGCATTTTTGACCGCAACTTTAAACTTACAGTGAGACATAGGTTTTACATCAACTATCTGGTCATAGATGATAAACCCCCCTGGTGTAGGTGTGTCCTCCGAGCTACACACAAGAGCCTGAAATTTATCGCTCCCAGGTTTAGTGTGGCAGATGGCTTTCAAAGTATACACCTCACCTGGTTTCAAATGCACCGGTACCTTGCTGGAGAGTGCAACACGGAGGGCTTTGACCTAGGGCTGCTCAATTAATCGAATTTTAATCACGATTACGATCTGGGCTTTCAACGATCATTAAAAATGACTGAGCCGATTATTAGCCCCTCCCTCGTGCTTTACTCTCGCGCTGCTCCGTGTGGCAAAT